ACTATGTACACGGCGGCTAACGTTTATAATAAATTTATTGTTGAGCGATTGATTTTAGTCGTCTCACGCGGCGTTCCTCACATGCGTTATTGAGTTATTCACACTATTTTATTTTACGTGCTTACATATGTGTGAGAAGACATGCTCGCACGCATTACCTTAGGGCGTCTACCGCCTCAGTCGATTCCAGTGCACTAGCGGGGGCGGCGTCGGTGTCCAGCGCATTATTAAATGAAAACTGCTATATAAGTTACGTTACGGCGACGTGCAGCAATTCCCGCGTTCGTGCAATTTCAGAGTTCCATACTAAAAAATTTAATATTCAAAAGTATTGTTTATTCAACTAAAATTCTAAAGCAGTCTAAAATATATATAAATATAATAATTAAAGTATACGAATAAAATTAAGAATAGGTACCAAATACCAATATAAAGTAAACAAATATTTTAAGTATCCTGATAATTACAAGTGAGGCGATGCCTCTCTTGCCTCATCCCCAAAACCGCCACAAATAAAACCGTACACACAAATACACCAGTTTTAATTAAACCGTGCTAAAAAATATACTTTGAAATGTTCACACATCATCATTTGTAAGGTGGTAAGCATATTATAGATATCTTGCAAATGGGTAAAAATGAATTATTTATTAGTTACTACGAGGTTCTGGATTCAAAATTCAAAAGATGAAAATAACTTCTTTTTTAAACAACTTTACGGTACTTGAAAGCATTGTTAGTTGTCATACATTATGCTTTTGGTACTTAAATATGTCATTGCACATTTAACACTATTTTGCATAGAATATAAATCAAATCTTCTTTCATTAAGGAATTCTTGTAAATTTAAAAAAATTGCTGAAGTTATTATATATACTACTATATAATAAACGATCAAAAAATCGAAAATCATCACTTTGGTATATTAAATTTTTTATTTAATTTGAAAAATTCATCATTCGCCTAACCTAACCTAGAATCATATTATTCGATAATTTATCGATCCCAAATTTTGTTTACAATGATAAATGTAAAAAAAATAAAAAACTTAAATGAGAGCCCCTTCATTATAGTGACACTGAGGCCCCAGTTTGCTTAGTTGCGCCACTGATAGTAATATTTTTTTTATAATAAAATACAATTTCAAATGTTGTAAGAAATATTCACCCTTTTTCAATAAAAAGATTATGTACTAGACTTGCTTACATTAAAACTTACCTTATGATATCTAAATAAAGAGAATTATCACGTTTTTAGATTAAACACTGCTGAAGTATTGTTGACTGGTGGCAGGGCGATAACAAACAAGTAGGCACCCAATATTCTAGTATGCAAACATTAAAATAATAATTGGATTACATTGACTCATGAAGTATTCAACAACAATATATTTATAACAGAATTCAGATTACAGTAGTTTTTATAATTATTAAGTACAGGCATACAGCCCTTGAACCCAATAGAAAAAATTATAATTCATATACTGTTTTATTGAATAAGTTCTTAAATATTAAATATACCAAATAATATTGCAATAATGTTACTGTATTAATGTTTGATGCGTTACTTATGATACAAGAGAATGAAAGTTCTTTGTCATCTATTCTTAGGACACAGTATAGTGATTTGTTTCTTAGATAAATATAGTTAAAATATAGAAAATATGGAATGGAGTTAAAAGAATAAGTGAAACAAGAAGAAATTCAAAGTTAGGTTTTTTAAAGGAAGGATTATTGTTTTAGAATTATTGTAAGTTTTTTAGTTTGATCTCTGTTAATTCATTGATTTTTATAGTCATAAATATAATACATTTTAATAAGGAGTAAATGTTACCAATATGAGTTGATGTATGATTAGATGTTTGGAAAATAACACGGAGAAAATTGGGCTGCCTCTAGCTGCCCTTACCCTATGGCCCTATATTATATCCCACTACATTTGATTATTCCTTAAAGTATACAGTATTTACTTTAACAATAATTGTCTTATAGGTTGTTAACAAGCATAGGATACCCTAGTAATAAAATTGACCAGTTAAACATTTAATAGAAAACACATCATTCAAACCTACATGTAAAACACAAGTATTATTTTTGATAATTTATTCTGTGTATCGTAAATATTGAATCATTTATATTTTTTTCCCATAAACTGTGAGTTACCAATACTTTAAAATCAACTAAATATTAATTAGCATATACAAATTATAACAACAAATGTCTTTAAGAACTTGTGTATAACTAATATTTATGTTATAATAACTTCCAGTTTTTTGGTATAACTTCTAATGTAAAATAGAGCGAGTTTTTTTTCAAACACTTTCAGATTTAAGTAACTTAAACACATTTCCAAATAACAAATTTTAAAATGCATATGGTATAACAGAATTTGTGGTTAAAATACCTAACACTTAATGTTCAAATATCATTCTTTAATAGTTTTTTTTTAACTGAATTATTTTTTGGACAAGTTTTTCATTTTTAATAATAATATAATTGAGACAAAATAAAAGTAGGGAAGAGTATTTTTAGTGCCGGACAGACAAGGTATTGGGTCCATCGAGTTCTATGATTTTAACTGGCCCTAAAAAGTTAACTGTCCATTTTAAATAAAATATAATATTTATTATTTATTACTACAGTAAAATTACGGTAAGACGGAAATCCTGGTAACACAGATAATTTTTTTGGTTCCGATTAAAATACATAGTGAATGTGAACCCCCCTTCAAGTCAGAAACTCCGTTAAGACGGAACAATTTAACAGTCCTAAGCGATTTTGTTTTAGAGAGGTTATACTGCATTTATATTTCATTGTTCAGAGTTCAGGGATTTCAAATAAATATATTCCTAAGCTGGTCCAAATATTATACACAAAATACCAAGTTCAACTGAGTAACTTGCTTGGTCTACCTAATTGTTTTTTTTGTGTTTAAAATATTAATTATTGAGGCATTTGCCAACTTAAAGACCTTCAAGAGGATGCCACACCCACATGTGTTGTTTCCGTCTTACGAACGTAGGTAAATCCTAGCAAAAACATTCAATTGCTCAAGCTCTAGTTCAAGCTAAAGAACCAAATTTTCTCACTATAAACAAGAGAACATTTACTGTGTGACATGGTTTTTATTTTTCGATATCACAAATACAAAAAAAAGTGTTTCAAATTTGAAATAATGAATTTTCAAACAATAAGACCTTTTTTTGTATTTGTGATATCGAAGAAATAACTGCAAAGTTGCACAGTAAATGTTCTCTTGTTTATAGTGTGAACATTTGGTTGGTTTGCTTGGACCACAGCTCGGTTTTATTTCATTCAAAACAGTAGGTATTTGCTATGTTGTATGTTTGTAAGACTGAGACAACACATGTGTGTGGCGTCCTTTTCAAGGTTGTTAAGTTGACAAATGCCTCTCTCTTAGTTTGTTCACTGAGGCCTATCTAAATTATATTCCTAATTTTTTTTACATTTTTTATTGCAAACTGCAATATCATTTACTATTGTTATGTTAGGTTAGGTCAATAAAAAAAAAATGTAAGTACTTATATATTACCGGTATATTTACACAGGGCCCTTTTTTATGGATTTTCTGATCTCATTTGAATCCTTGAAACTACCTCTAATTGGCACTCACTGGAGCTTCTACCAACAAACGCTCGCAATGAGCATATTACTTACAAGTTATTAAAGTTTAGTTAGTGTTTCTGTATATTACAGCTCCTTTTAGCATAATGTGAGTAGAAACATTAAACCTATACCATTATTCTTAGAATTAAATGTTCTTTCAAATTAAAAGTTACTTATTGTTTATGTTTTGTGCTCCTTTTATGGTTATGTTTATTGTATGTATTACTGTATTACTTTCTGATCGTAAATACGTTATCTTTATCCGAACATTGTACTCTTATAAACAAGAGCTTATGCCTGTACATTTGTTAAAAAATAAAATATATGTGTAATTCATATACATCACTAATGTGTACAGAGTGGTCTATTTAACATTTTATAATCATTATTTTAATTTATTATAATTTAAAATATATGCATCAAATTATGTCTTATATAGTTTTAATTACTTAAAAATTATAATACTCTGTAATAGATTATAATTTTTAATTCTAATTATGTTGTAGGCTATCTATAATTTTAATTTTATTTTTGATAGTATATTTTTGGGAAAATGTAATGTACTTATTTATAATTCTGCACATTGAGATAATACCTTGTTAATAATTTAAGATATATATAACTCAGTGTTAAATAACATAACCGAACAAATAGTTGTGCAGATTATTTTTTCAAAAACTCATGTGGGAAAGAATTAAAATTATAAAAATTGACTTAGAATCATTTGTAGTTGTATTACATTAAAATGTCAACTTTTTCTCGTTATTATTATTCTTATTAAAAAAAAAACAACATGAGTATTTAAACACTTAATTATTTGTATATCATCTCATATCAATGATATTCATATGAAATAATATTAAAGTGATGTTTGTGGTTAATGGTAAGTGTGGTTTCCTGTCATGTAATTCCTATAGAACAATATAGTAAATTTAGATAAAAACAAAAACATAAGTAGGCCTACATTATAAAACTGTTTAAATTTTTATTATTTTAGTTGTAATAGTTTATAATATTATATGTACATTTTTTAGTTTAAAACAAAAAAAGTAAATTGAAATAATATACATTTAAAACTAATTTAATAATATTTTTAAATTATTCCTGTTTGAATTACTACAACCATTAATTTTTATTTTTATATTTTACAAGTTCTGAAACAATTTAAAACTTAATTTTATCTAATCAATAAGACTGATAATTATTTGGTTAACACCTACTTTTATGTATGCATTCGAGTTTCAAATAATATTTTTAATATTTGCTTTATTTATAAAACAACAGCAAACTCAAATATACTCATTTATACAAAATTTAAAGTTTTTACTTTTCAGTATTACTTAATTTATTTGGAACATTTGTTTTTCATTTCAGTTGTGCAATATGAGTCACGATCACAGTCACCATGCAATGGAAAATCATGAGCATACTACAGAAAGTGGTGATTCCTGCTGTCCTGGTTCTGATGCACCAGCAAACAGTGGGCAACACATGATGCATCATATGATGTCTGTAAGTTACATGAGATGATACACTAAGTAATAATCATCCATTTTAGGTAATTTATGCTATACATTTTTTCTTTAGATGTCATTCCATTTTGGTACTAGTGAAACTGTATTGTTTGATTGGTGGACATTTTCTACAACCAGTGGTCTAGTGTATTCAATGATTGGAATTTTTTTAATGGCAACATTGTACGAGGGATTAAAATATTTCAGGTAATTAATCACTTGTCAATCTAAAATAGAATATAGCTTAATAATTTACTATTGTATGTTTTAGAGAATATTTATTTTGGAAATCTTATAATGCTATACAGTATAGATCAGTACAAATCCCAATGGAAAAAGGACCAAATGATCCTGTTTCACAGTAAGTATTTTTATTTCTACATTTTCTGTATCGTTATTAGTCATTACTTTTAAGTTTTCAAGAATCAGGTGTATCTAAAGTTGTTAGTTTAAAAATGTGTAATGTTTGTGAATATTCAATAAAAATACAAATTAAACACATTTTATGTAGCTTTTTAAATATTAATAATTGATACTTGTGTAGTATGCTACCTACTGTCAAATCACTTAAAATGCTACCTACCAAAAAACTGTTCCCATGTAGTGTACTACCTACTGGAAAATATGACATATTTACTCATATATATGTTGTATTTTTATTCAATTTTAGTATTGAAAAGTACCTGAGTCTTGAATTAGTAAGATAAACAACATATTATAACGATGTTACAATACTATGATAGCTAAATGACCATTGTAATAAATGGTGAATATCTACCAAGACCCACAATAATTTACTTTTAGATATATTATTTTACTCTATGTTGCATCCTTCCATCTCAGTGTGTTAAGCAACAAATTGTTTGACCACCAACTAAAATAGCAATGGTGGCGGTCCATTAAAACATAACACAACAATTAATTTGAAGTTTTATTGGATGTTCTTGGAACATAAAAACAACATAACAATATATTATGCATTAAAATACATGATAATCATCAGCAATACCTTAAGTCAGTTTTCGTTCAATAAATTGTTATTATTCAATAATCAGTAGGTAAAATGTGGTTAACACACATTAAGTTTTTTGGTCGGTAGCATACTACAGAAGTGCCTTATATTTTTCAATTACATTTATGTTTTGTAGTATTTTATTTTAAGTTGTAACAAAATCTTATATCATCTTTCAAAAACAACTAAAACATAATTATTATGGCAAAACATAAATAAATTGTTATTATTACTTAGAATCTAAAACTATTATTGAATCAAATTCTATTATGTAAAGTCATTAATTTCAATGTTGATTTTTTTTTATCTAATATATTTTAGAATTTATTAGTTACCTAAATCTGTACACGTATGGTGTACACAATTTCAAAACCAAATAAATTACTATTTCTTGTTTTTCCTACATCAAATCAATTTCTATTTTTGAATTATGTAGTAAAACAACATGAATTGTTTGTGTATCATTTTTAAAATATTAAAATTAATGTATTAACTAATACAGTTGATTATTATGGAATCGTTGTTCTCTTAATCAAAGGTGCATAATACATAAGTATTAAAAATTATATAATAAGTTCATATAACAATATTATTACACTAATAATAGCATATAAGTTAATATACACTATAACATATTATTTTGTTAACTAGCTAAACAAAAACTAATCATAGGATACACATTTGATTGCTAACATTTGTTGAAGATATATATATATTGTTGAAAATAATTTCATATTTTAACTTAAAAAAAAAATAATAATAACTATGGATTAAGTATAATTAATATTTTAACAGAAATATGAGCAGAATTCAGTTATAGTATAATTACATCAAGAATTAGTCAAATTTTTTTTTTGGAACCTTAACCCACTACCTACGTATTTTTCAGCTTTTCATTAAGGGCCACATAAAAATAAAAAAATTTAAAAATACAATTTTAACCCTTGTCAATTTATTGATATTAAAAATCAAAATATGAATTCTGTTTGCTCAGTGCTCCTGGTTTACTGATTTTGGATAAATTGTATGAGAGAAAAAATTTTAAAATATATTTTTAGAACAAATATTTAAAAAAAATACCCAACGTAAGTTGATTCAGATAATTCGATTACAATTTCACAAGTTCACAACATACAAAATTATCCAAACACTGTTCATATTATGTTTGTATAATAATTTTAATTTCATTTGAAATGCTCTTATATCTCAATACATATCTGACAATAATTTGTCCAAATCTTGCAGTTCATATTCAATTTATTTAATAAAGTTGTTTATATCAGATAAAAAGGCAAGAATAAGAATCTACTTTTAGTTGACAATTCTTGTACATTTTTGGATTCTAAACAATAGCCAAAAAAAATACCATAAATATTCTACAGTTGAAACAAAACTTTTGAATTTATTCTCGTGTACTTATTAAGATGTTTAAAGTCTATATAATTGGCTCCTTTAATAAAATAGTTTTTATTTTTATTGATTCAGCCTGATCATGTTTGTGGTTAGAATTAAATTATTTAAGTACTAATTTTATTTCAGAATGGTTGGGAAGGTGCTTTTAAAACAACCCCTGTAAGTGTAACAAGATTGGATTAACTTTTTAACTGCACGTGGAAATTTTTTATTTTCCAACCTTAAAGTAATTTTGTGTGTGATTAACCATTGAACATGAGTATACAGTAGAATCTGCTTGATTGAGACACTGCATAAAGGGGACATTCGCTTAATGGGGACAAATTGGCATAGTCCCGAACAATGTTTCAGTTAATCGGGACAAAAGGATATTGGGGGCAAATAGGTCCCAATTGTCCCAATTAAGTGGATTCTACTGTGTTGCTTTCCCAATATTAACAATTTAAAGTGTGGCTTAATAATTAATAAATTAATTGTATGTATGCTTTGAATTATAGAAAAAAATCTAAAAATACATTGCACGTAATTATAACTATTATTAAATATATATAAAAGAAAATATGATTTTTATAGTGGATACTTTTTGTTACTATATTTATTTGCATGTGATAGGTTAAAATGTATTTCGGTACACTCTTTTTGACTTTTAAGAGGCATTTTATGTCAGCAAAAATAGATTTTAATTCTTCTCTAAGAATGTAAAATTCTAAGTATGTATTAATGAAAACGAATACCTACTTCTATTCTTAGTAATAAGGTGTATACAGCAGCCACCAAGGTCATGTATGTGCATTCATAAATTAGAAAGCAATTCAAATTATTTTTTACGGTATTTAATTCTCCGTAAAACGAGAAATCCATTAACTTCATGATAAATATAGTCATAAAAAAATGGAAGAAATTCGTAATATTTTGTATCAGCTGTGCTAATGAATTTCTGATTTTCCCATAAATTTTAAATTTGCTTGCTTAAATAGTAAAATTCCTAATAAAAGTGGCTAGTAAATTCATGATAAGATGCATGTAACATTTAAGCTGTTATTTGCATCTGATTTTAAACATTTTATGAAAATTGCCTATATTAAACCCCTTAAATTTTTAGTTATTATATTATCATATCTTAAAATAATTTAATGGTGTTTAATAACATATTATGCCTATTGACTCATTGTTTTACATTTTTCTGTAGCATTCAGCATTTCCATTATTGCTGCTCAGGTTAAGTTTGGTTAGTTTTTTTTTATTTCTTCATTTGTCACCAAAATGTGTGTGTTTAAAAATATCCACATTTTTGTATACTTATCATTGTTGAAAATTAATAATTAAAGAAATTAAAAATATTCACTAGCCAAGGTATGAAAAAACCAAAAAATGTTTTTTTTATAACTTTCGAATAAAAATTTGTAACTATAAACTCAATATAAGTAAGAATTTTGGAAATGTAAAACGAGGTTACGTAGTATAGTGTATTACATGTAAACTTAAAAGAAAACAACTGTTGCAACTTTCCCCAATATTTTAAGTATATTGTATACATGTTTATTTAAACTGAACATAGGTTTAGTTTTTGGATGGAAACATAGATTTTATAAGGTCTTAACAAATATTTTTTCTAATGTAAGATTATTGTTAATTATTTTGAATATTCCATAATTTATTGATTTAGTGATTTCACCAATTATGCTCATCCCAATTTTTTCCTTTGATAATGAAGTTAATAAATTAATGATATTTTAAATTTTAAGGAACTTAAATATACTTAAGAACCAGAATTGTTAAATAACTATGATTCAAACTTTTTCCAAATTTAAACCACCTTTTATGCTGTGAATTGTTCCAATGAAAATTTAAACTTTAAACACCCATAAAAGATTAATTTCAACTACTGGTAATTTTTTTTAACTAAAGGTACAATTTTTAAAAACACAGTTTATTATAAAATAAATGTATGTATCTCTCCATCCAGAGTCTAAAATATTGTTTAAAGAATTTAAATAGTTGAAAATATTGTTGTCAAGTGTATTTAAAAATTTAAAAAGTCAGAATATGAATAAACCCATCATTATTAAAGGAATAACTGTGAGCATTTTTAATGGATCATCCTGCACAGCTATCATCTAGTTATTTGTTACTTTTTGTTTCCAGTAGAAAAAACCTGCATGCTATTAGAATATTTTAAATTTTAAAATATTAATTAATAACTTATTAAAGTATTATGCTAAAGACTAAATTTATTCATTGATTATATTTTGTTTTATTTTACAGGCCCACTATGTTCAGTGTAACACATTTGCTTCAAACATTCCTGCACATAATTCAAATATCCATCAGTTATTTATTGATGTTAATATTCATGACATACAACGTTTGGTTATGCTTAGCTGTATTATTTGGCGCTACTTTGGGTTACTTCTTATTTGGATGGAAAAAATCAGTTGTTGTTGATGTCACAGAACATTGTCACTGAAATAATTGTTTCCAACAAAATTTGAATATAAAAATGTATTATGTTCTTATTTACTATTAACTGTATACAATATTATAATTCATAAATATATTTTATATGGCATAGCTTAGGAGTGCTTTCATCAGTTATTTTATTCACTGGTTTAACTAAGCAATATATTAGATAGATACCCTGATTTTTGGGTCAATTTTATAAATCATAATTTGTCATTTGATGATTTTCTTGATGATATACAGCCTCATGACAATGTATTATCGAAAATTCCAAGATGGCTTCTTTGAATTTATTTAAAACAAATGTATACTTTTATCATGTACTATTAAATAAACTTTTGTATTTTATGATTTAATTAAATCTTGATGTTTTAATAAATTGTGTTACTTTATTTCTCTTTTTACCTATTGCATTATATTTTTTATCTTTTTCGTTCACTCTTGTCTTAAATTGCTAAATCAATGCTACGATTTTCAATAATAGTGCAATAATAAAATTTAGAATTTATATAATATTTAATTGTATACGACTCGCTTACTCTCAAATTATCATAAATCATCATTCATAATAGATTTAAAGTATTAATATAATATCTTACCCAGACTAATTCAATAAAAAATTGGACCAAACATTCTTCCATGAGCTTTCTATACGATTTATCAAATCTACAATATCAATATTATCATCAGAGTGAAGTTGAAAAGGTTATAGCTAAGTCCAGGGGTCAACCTTTTCCTACAAGTGAGCTACTTTAAAGTATCTGGTGATCGACCATTGTTTATATTGTTACATGCAGCACTATAACAAAATGTGTGTTACATTCTTCATATTATATTATTTCTCCATCGGAAAATATATTTTTTTCTCTGCTAGTAAATACTTTACTTTGTATACAAAGCACAAGTGTGTTTAATGTTATGCACGTGTTCAACCAATATTGGTTTAATAAATTGTTTAATATGATTAACCAATATTCCTCTAAAAATCAATCACTGGCCCTACTTGGCATCCACATAATCATACTATTCTGTGATATAACATAGCAAAGGTAGCATAATATTCAACTATTCATACAAGTTTTTTTTTGTTTTTTTTTTTGTATTCTCAATTTAAGCTTTCTTATCAAAACAATGGTTTAACGGTTTATTCTATATTATTTTACCTAATAATTTTAAATATCCAATTTTAATTTTAATCATCATAAATTATTATTTTTTATTTATTCTTATTGATTGCTGCTTCAACCTTTGATACTGGTTGTTTTTACGTCAATATTTTAAGAGATTGGTGTTACATAACAACAAGTTGCTTGATAACTATACCACAAGTAATTGAGTATTTTCTGAGTAAATCACGGGGAAAAAAACTCATAAAAAGAAACTTACACGGGAAAAGAAACTTAGGTACCGAACATTTCTTAAAAATTATAATGTAATATTATAATATTTACTTGATTTCATCCTCCATATTGGCTTTTAAGTTTAAATCACATGAGCTTTATGTTTACGTAAAGGGATAGGTATCCAACAATATAAATTAAATAAACTACTTTGCTCAAACCCGTCAACATTTCTATGAATAGTTTGGTAGTAAAAATGCAACTATTAAAAGGGTTATTGTTGGTCCAACCAATACTTAATGTATAACTATTTAAATAATTAACAACTAACAATACTACAATAGGTAGCATTGAATGAGGACAGCTTTGGACAGCACTAAGGTATATCGGTGTACCTCCCTAGAAAACTAGTCAAACTAGTGAAAATATGTAACCAACAGATATTCTGCAATGTGCACTTTATGTTATGGGACTATCCGATTATGGGAGAAACCTGAGGGCTGAAACATATGAAATTGTATATTTATCATACTGGCCGAAAGTTGTTATTGTTAAATTACATATCAGAATATCTGTATACCTATTTTGTTTATTATTTTAATTAATTTGGTAAACTCTTTTTCTTATACCTTACACTTTTATTTACCGGAATTTTTTTTTAAGATGGATATTTTTACCACAGAATTTAAATTTTTTATGCATATTCCCATCAAATCAAGGGGAAGTTTCAAGCTAATGTTGTTGAGATTTGGAATTTAGTTCCGATATCTGACTTTAAGCTGGTTCCACACGACTGGTGTACTTAGCCAATATTGGTCACTAGCCATCAGACACAATAAACAAATCAAATAAAATATTAGAAAACTTAAAATACTAAAAATATAAAGAGCTCGAAAAAAAAAATAACCAAACATAAATATATATTTTTTTAATTTTTAAATGTTTTTTTTTTTTTTTTTTTTTTTTTTAATACTTACATATTTTTCTAATATACATATATAAAACTGAATTCATTTTTCTTAAAAAAAAAATATATATATCATATGTCCATAGCACTGATTTGCATTAATTATGGTTGGTATGAATAACAATTTTTATTGATATTGCATTTTTTATCATTATATAAATTTGATTTATAACACATTTCACAATGTGAATAAATTTTACATAATAAATAACAAGAAATAATTTACAATCAAATAACATATAGATAAGTACAGTTGTTATTAATTTGAAATTCGGTAGAATTTCTTTTACCTTAGTTGTTTAAAAATCAATTATTACACTTGGGGTCAATTTTCATCTGGATCAACTTTCCTACGAGTATCATTTTCAGAAATTTTCTGTTTAGATGGCGGCAGTTCATCCACTTTAATGATATCATCGTTTTTGTTTATAATTCCTTTTCTGGCCTCCATGAGCAATTTCAAAAATGTTTGCTTGTCAATCGAACTATATCCTTTCCATTTTAGTAGGTCAGACACCTGATCCTACACCACACAAAACAGATAGCAAGGGGAAATGTTAGAATAGGTATATATTATAGTATATAAAATACCAAATATTGGTAGCTAATCAGAATACAGAAATGTTGTCAATATTAATCAATGTTGAATTGAATATTTATTTTTTTTTTTTATATTAATAAATCAACTTTGCAAAAAGAAAATGCACCTCAAATATTTGCTAATCATCATCAATTATTTATCTTTGCTGCAAAATAGTAGGTACTTTCTTACACATTTTCTAATGTTCACTGTATTGTACATCATGATATGAATCGAGTTCAGTTCATGTTCTACCAGGGCAAAATACATTTCTTTCTCATTCGTTAGAATAGGTAGGACACAATGACTAAAAATATCTAGCATCCATGGTACCAAAATTATTATTGTGTGAAAAGGACTTAACAACTTTTGCATTCAAGATGTGTATACTTCCACAGTTTCATAATGTTCAAATCCAAGATTATAAATATCTACCCAGCATTAAAAATTATATTTAAATTATATTTAGATGGTTAACACAACTTTAAACATTGAATCAATTATTTTCTTCTAGAATGCATGAAATTAATAATTAAATTGGTGAGTTGTAATTTGTGTAAGTAATAGTTCTATTTTCTTCCAATACAGAAGTCACCAAAGACAGCACATATGCAAATTTTAGCTGGCCCACAAACAATAAATTTATTTTTAAGTTGAACCAAAAGAAGATTTCTTTCATAAGTTTTTATTTGATTTGATGATTTTGCTTTTACTTTCATTGGTTGAATATGAATTGAATTTTGATGACCCTTAAAAACTTCTTAAATTTCTAATGTGTTAATTATAATCCCATTAATATTAATTAGTGACCCGTGTTCAAATAAATATGTTATTGACAAAATCCAATCACTAAGTAAAGCTAGATTTTACTAGTTAATGCTAGGATTTACTATCGTGCTGAGTAAAAACTGAAAAGCACATAAAATTAAATAATTTTATTTAGGACTTTATCGTTATATGTTTTGATATTTTGTACAAATCTAGGATCTACAAATTATGTTAGTAAAAGGTATTTATAAAAATTAATTTATGATTTATGTTCGTATTATTACTCAGATACAATAATATTCCATTCTATCTGTCTAGAATGTATGTGTCAGACGTAATGATAAGCGCTTGAAAGATATATTGAATGTTTTTAATGTATTATTATTTTAATTTCTTAGTTTTTTTTTTTTTTTAATTTGATTCAAATATTATGATTATCAATATAAAATTTTATGAAACTCTAAAAGTAATAACTAAAAAAAAAGTTCTAGTATCACATGGATTTACTATACATAATTATGTGAAGTGAAAATAAACTAAAATTCCAGTGGAAAGTGGATCTGAAGATATTCTGTATGCAGTGGCATATATAGGTTGGTTAGATGTTCATTCCCCCAAAGTTAGATCCTGTATATGCTACTGATATTCTGTATTTTACTGACAATGAATAGTAACCCCCTATGATTAACTAGTAAAACCTAGCTTTACTTGGTGATCGGGCTTTACTTGTAACAAAAATACTATTTTTGTTAAAAGAAAATTAATATTAAGCACTTAGTTTCATAATATTGGGGAAATAGGTCTTGAAGCAGTAGGTGATGTTCTAGTGATAAAGATAACCCGGTTTTTTTTATTTTTCAGAAAACAAAGTCCACGGTAACACATTATATTTTACCCACAATTTATCTTGGTTGAACTAGCAGGATATTCAGTATCGAGATCTAGTACTCAAAGCCATTAAACTGAGTATAAAGATAGTTTAATTTATTAAGTATGCCTTATACTTGATGATGGAAAATTAAATTTCTCCATTATCATCCCAGCATAAGTATACATTTAATATCAGTAGAAAAGACAAGATTTTCAAAGGGGATGGTTTTTTTGAGTTCTCTAAGCCCTAACAAGAATATAGACTAGGAGTGTCCAACCTTCCATTAGGAGTAGATTTTCATGTGGCCCTCACGTCAATTTCAAAACCATAAATTACTTACATAGATTATTATGAAAACGAATTATACTAAAAATATAAAACTAAAAACATATTAAAAATAAAATAAACCTTAAAATTATTTAATAGCACATTAATGTACATGTGATAGGATGCCAAGACGGGCCCACATTAATTATCAATTTGGATAAACAGATGATTAAGCTTGGATTGCCACAACTTCAACTAATTCATTAATTTCACATTAGATTAATAATTATTTAAAAAAAATTGTTTTCTTTTAAGTACAAATAAAATTGAAATTATTAGAAAAATATACTATACAGGCATATGGTCCATGACATCATATACTCGCTCAATGAGGCCCAGCCTTTCCAAAAA